AAGTTTTGTAGTAAAAAAAAAAAAATGAGTTTACATGTAAAATGTAACGCTCCGAAAATTTTATACAATAAAATTTATTAGTTTTATATGCTATATTTTTATAATTTGAAACGTTGATGGACTAAAGTGAAATGTGTTTTATTTCTTATATTTTTTTGTCAAATAATTAGATTTTGATAGAACGAGTTTTAGTATATTAATATTGGACTCTTTTATAACTTGTAATTAATCAGAAGTTTTCGACTCGAGAAAAATTAATTCGGATAAATTAAACCCAAGATATTTAAATTTAAAGAAGTTATCATTTATTCGTGCATAGATACCTTTTTTTTCTTTTTTCTGTTCTTTTTGGATTAGGTTAAGAAAAGATAATTATAATTCTAATTTTGATCATGATTAATTGTAATCCTAATTTGATTAAAATTTCATTACTCTTCGTTACTTCAATTCTAACACTAGATGTAAAGTCAAGTAAATTCTTCCACGTGTCGTACCTTAATATAAATGTTATTAGATGATAAGGATTGGTTGAGTATTTTATTAGAAGCTTTTAATTCAAGAAAAAGTTGTTTTGGATAAAATCATAAGGTTAAATAAAATTTAAAGGAATTTGAAATATAATCTAAAACTCGTTTTCCTCCTTTTTAGCCTAGCCGCTTGTGTTTATAATTATGAGTTTGATTAGTATAAATTTTAATTGTAATTTTAATTTGATTTTGATAAAGTTTAATAGTAATCATAATTCTATTATTTGAATCCATTTCTTATCCAAATTCCTTGTATTAACAAATTTTCAATTCTAGTTGCATACAAACTCAATTGAGAATTTCAACTATAAATACTGTAAGAATTCTCATTATTTCACTACAGAAAATAAAGAGAGCATGGTAGAGAGAGAGAGAGAGAGAGAGGAAAAAGTATAAAAAAATAATAGGAGAATTTTTACGTGCATGATTATATTCTTTTCAACATTTCAAAATCAATATAAGATATTTATGCGCAAGTGATTTGTTTCGTATACCTTTATGTATTCAGTCATTTATGCATGAATTGTCAATGGACCTTCGAATTCTTTATAAGAGAGATGAAATCTTTCATAAATTTAAGATGATCTAATATGGGTGTTTCGCTTGGTCATATACTCAATAAGAAAAAACTGGTTTGAAGTGTTTAAATTGATTGTTATATAATTGTGTATGAAAACTACATGTATCTTACTTGGTGTTGTTAAATATTTGCTCTCATAATAATTTCACAAGTTAGTTTGGGTCGTTTGGATTCGTGGTAGGATGGTGATGAGGGGTGCCAACGGATTGAATGAAAATAAACACAAAGTTTTCCGGTCCTTCACTTTATTAGTTTAGTTTGTTCAAAGACATATTATTTAATTAATTAGGTGATTATTTTTTTTAAAGATATAATTTTCATGTTTTAATTTAAATTTTTGAATATTCTAGTTATTTTTATAAAGAAATTTATTACATCGTTCCGGATTTAATGTAAAGAAAAATAAATTTATTTAAAAATGTGTGATTAAAAATGAGTTTCAAACTAATGAGAATCAAATGGGGCTAAATTATTTAATGATAATTATTTATATTATTAAAATTTCTACAGTCAATAGTTTTCTTGGATATCTCACGACATGTTTTAAGAACCGTGAAAAAAACTATTTCTTCAAATTGTCCTTGTCACTTGTTTCGAATACATTTTAGACATATTAAAATTCTTCATTATTTTTTATATTGA